TCCTTTCTGGAAATTAAGTGTCGACTGACCAACTGAAGTCTTCTGAAACACAGCCACACCATTAAATAAAAAAATAAACATATGAGGTGTTCGTGGCACAGCTTATTTGCAATAGGACAGCCTCAGAAGAATTCAGTTATTGAGTCTTCATGTCAGTTTATGCTTGCTGACTATAAAGACAAAACACCAAAAACAGGAGCACCAGTATAACCAAGAGCACATATTCACGGCTCTGTGTGCTTCCTGTGTGCAATTGAGAGCATGTAATTAATGAAAATCTACTTTAGACGAACTCATAACTACTTGTTCTTACCTAAAATATGCATTAAATATACTATATTTGAAAGCTTACTAAACTGGCACATTTACAGAACTGCATTAGTAAATCTGAACTGAATGAAGTATAGTAACATAAAATAAAAGAAAAAAATATCTGCAAATAGCAGATGAGATTTCCTATGTATGGCTCGCATTCTTTTATATTTAATCCACAGATTAAAACAAAACTTACTTCTCTGTCACAGTATTTTTTAATTTATGTAGGTGTCCTGGCTTGTTAACTCACTGCAGTGCTCTAAAACAGATGACAGACTGTCTAATGACTTTTCTATGTATAAAGTCATTCTCACATCTGTGTATGCTGGTGCAGACTATCAGCAGTAGGTACAGTTGTGGATTAAACAATCTAAATGATTTTATTAAATGAGTTTATTTGATGTTGCTGTAATATTGCTTTTATTTTGTACTCATACTGTTTCATTATGTAAGAGTTACAATTAATTACTCTGAATGATGAATTCAGACTGTAGAGAAGTCATGGAGAACAGGGAGAAATTGCAGAAGTGCTGAGGTGTGAAAACTCATAGAATGGGAGTGGGGAAAAGAGAATATATTAGCAAAGAGTCAGGAGCTTCAGGTGCAGTGTTTTTCCCCAGACTTCAGTTACTGAATAACATATTGCATAGAGCACTGGACTGTTTGTCTATGGACTTCTTGGCCAGCATGAGCAGACCACCATACTTCATGAAAGTTAAATAGGTGATTAAACCCTTAAACTGCAGCACTATTATTTAGTTATTAATCACAAGACTTGTTATTTATTAAGTACCATTAAACTAATTGAAAGTTGAGTTGCATTATGCACTGTAAAAATGTCATATGCACAGACTCAAAAGGAAAGTCCAGCTTGATATTTAGGTCTCAAATGCAAAATCACCATTATACCCATAAAAACATGATGACAATAGTAGTTCTCTTTCAATGCGCTTGCAATCATTAGATTCAGCAACTCCTGGGAGGAGTCTGAAGCATAACTAATGCTACAAAATGTTCTTCCACACTTTGCATGCAGTTACAAATTTCCACCAGAGAGGTCTCTAAACCCCCAAAACTTACATATAGTAGCTTTAAGTAGTAATGACAGTGAGTAACTGAAGTCTGGGTCCATATATTAAGGGGCTGTTCAAAGAATAAATAAATAAACAAACAAACAAATATGTGCAAAAACAATTCAGGAATTAAAGTTACCTTAGAGGTGATTCAATATAATTTCTTATATTAAAATAAAAAAAAAGTTTTAAGTGAAGACTGTATGCAATATACAACGCAAATCTCACTAACCTCCCCAATTCTCCAGGCTGAAGAGGTTGCTGAAGTTGTGGGCAACATACGGGGCAATTTTTTTCAGGTCGTGTGTCCTCACGCGGGTGGCCAACAGTGACTGATGAGCGTCTCTGAATGTTGTGTCCATCAGCAGCAGACCTTGGTGCTGTCTCACTGCCCGTGCAAAACCCTCCGGACCCTCCTTCAGCAGGACCTCACGGAAACCAGCCGGGGCCTCACCTGTGCACACAGGTAGGAACGTCTTATTGGCCTCATTGAAAAATAATACACAATTATTCCACAACAATAACAATTATGCTCACACAGGCACTGACATGCACAGACACGTCAAAAAACATCAACCGTTTCTCTGTTTGACTTATACAGAAAATGTCAACACTAACTGCAATTGCGTTTAAAGTTTCTGAATAATTAAATGGTTTAGATCTTAAAGTCATTCAGAGTGGTTTGATGTGAAATGCTCCATTCTAGAGAAAAACACAGAGTAAGAATGTCTGGACATCTAAAGAGTTTTATACCTCTGAAAGCTACCCCACAGAACGTTATTACATTAAATTGTTACAAATATGCTGCCTTATGCCTATTTTACGATATATCAAACATTTTATGATCGTTCTGAGAGGACTTTGGCCTAAAACATATTTGTAAAACTGTTCATGGCAGAGAAGGACATGCACGGCAAAAAAGTCCCCAAAGAAACCTTTTACCACCTAGAATAACCGCTGTTTTACCATCATCAGCATTACATATAAAAACTCAGCAAACACTTGTAGGTTCACCAGAGGTTTTGGATAGTAAATAAAATGATTAAATTTGTGCTGTAGACATCATGACCCCTGGTTCCTATCAGCACTACAGTAAAGAAATCTGGTCTGTAAGTTTCTCTACAATGAACAATTTCACTTTAAACCACTCTGAATGACTCTTAGATCTCAACCACTAAATTTGCAGACATTTAGGAAAATTATTGGAATTCACCTTTAATGTTAAGGTAAAAAAAAGTCTGTATATGCTAATTCTACTTTATTCGAACAGAAGTTAAATCATTGAATTAAATTCCTGCAACGGTTTACTTTTTTGAACACACGCACGCAAACATGCACACAGAAATAAATTGAGTTTAAATCTAAATGCAATGGTGTTGCTAAGGGATTTTTCAGTCTTTGGCAGATTCCACTGACTAAAGCACTGCGTGTTGTATAGAAGCAAGTATAGAGCCATAAGCCTATTTAACGCTCTTTATGAGTGTTTTGCTCACATGCGCACACACACACATATATACATATATACAAACACTAAATAGGACTCAGGAATATCCCAAGGGTCTTGGGCAATACCTATTACAGATGCGACCCAATTACACAGATACACACATACACACACGCATCCCTCACTCCATGACACTCCTACACATATCTGGACCTATAGAATTACACACACACATGCACAACCAGCATAGTTTCATACTCCTACATGCTAAGCAAAGTAGGAAATACACCAGCCAATGAAAAGCCTGAAATTTACTACATAAATTACACACACACACACACACACACACACCCCAACACTGTTGAGCACAGTACATAGCTCACACACACCTAAACCCCTGTAATGAGATTTCTAATGTGGCTGGGTCCTCTCTTTCATCTGGCAGAGAGATGGAGAGAAGAGGGGGATTAGAGTGTATTATCACACTGTCGTCTGCCTGGCCCCGACCACAGAGCAGAGCAGTAGAGGTGGAGGAACGCGCTGTCACTCAGCCAGGCCCGCGGGCATGTATACGTGTGCGTGTGTGGGCAGGCGTGGTGGCAGCACTATGGCATTTGTTCTTTTTTAAGTCAGGCTATTCAGGATGTTGTGGAATCAGTCCGTTTTTCGAGCCATGTACTCTCAAAACAGATGTGTTAAAAACAAACAGGGCCTCATCGTTGTGATCATAGCTCTATAATATCACTAAAACAGAGCCCTGTTGCACAAAATAAGACACAAGTTATAGCGGATGTGCATGTAGGTGTGGCAGATATTTTCCATAATTTCATAACAGGCAGTGCAGGAACTAACATGGTGCAATTGTAAAAAGGGGTGGGATCAGCAGCAGCAGTATGATCAGCCCCTGCACTTTTGCCACTGCCATTAACAAAATTTAGTTCTAAGCTTTATCTCAGTTTCAGTTTTCATCCTCTGTTCTGAGGTTAGCAGACACCTCATAGTTATGGCTACTACAGAACAGTGTCCAATCAAATCAACTCCTCTTGTTTAAGAGCCCAGTGTACGGCAGCAATATCCAATCAAATCAACTAGAACACAGTGTAAAATATTTAAAATATTTGTATGAATTTTAATGAAGGTAAGATTCTTGTTCACTTTGATACTGGGTGTGCTGCCATGGATGGACAACAAGCAGACAGATGAGCTAGCTTGAAAGCTCAGTTATCCTTGCAAGGTTAGTTTTCGCTTGGTAAGTTTCTCTGACTCAAACACAGAGAAAATGTAAGGGTGTCTCAAGATTAGGACTGCCCAGTTTACATTGAAAGAGGAAAATGTTGACAAAATATATTGTTCATTCAGTGGATATGGGAAAGTTATCCACAGAACATACTTTGTACATGTATATTGTGTGTCCATAAGAGCAAGATTAACCTACTTAGGAAAAAAACCTGGACTTAGGTTCCCTGAAGCTTAATGACCCAAGTGTACTGCAGCAATATCTGATCTAATCAGCTCCACTCAAGCCCTTCAAGTGGGAGCGAAGTGAGCTTTTTTTTCTAACGGCAGGATATCGTATCCTGCACATACAATATTTATTCACTTACTCCACTAAAGACTGAAAAAAGCATAATCTTTGACATGTTGATAAAAATAACTGGCTGACTGACAATAGAATTCAGTGTCTTCTCATTCAATTGTGCGAGTCACACTCACTCATGTGTCAAAGACAGTATCTATATGGGTTAATTCTTACTCTCTATGAAGGCAAACTTTGCAAGTGTTGTATATAATTAGTTAGACATACTGATTCTATTAATTATAAAATGTTACATGCGCAATGATGTGTCAGCTGTCTGATTCACTTCAGTAAACATAAAAGATGTTTGTCATTATTTGTTATGAATAAAATAATTTAATCAGTTGCATTTAGTTAGTAGTTGGGTGGGTCTATTAATACTGACTTGGGGGTATATAAACTGTAGATTTAAATCCATGTTGTTAGGAATGGGACAGGAATTTAAGCCTTAGCTCAGTGTCAGGAAAATATATTTTGCTTCAATTGCATCAGGGCAGATTTGTTACTTCCATCCAACTAATAACTGGACAACAAACTGGGAAAGCAGTACTGTTACACCATTAAACTGAACTGAAAAAAAAAAAAATCTATAAATAGAGCCTTTGGAGTGTTATTTTTCATGTACAGTTAGAACAAAACCTTTTGTGCCACTTTTCAATTTTCAAAAGAAGGCAAGGTGAGACCAAAATATTGACGTTGAGTTGTCGGGTTGGATTTCGCAAGAGGTTTGCAGACCATGTCACACATCTTTACATATTAACGTCACATGCACAGGCTCAAAATGGAAGTATGGCTCAATGTTTAGGTCTCAAATGCAAAATCAACATTATACTAATGAATATATGATGACAAAACGTCCTTCACCAAGTTCTCTTTGAACATTCAGTATGTGCAGTTACAGACGTCTACCAGAGAGGTCTCCAAATCCCCAAAAGTTGGTGTGCCATTAACAAAGATTGTTCAGTGTTCAGATTTTTAATACAAACATGTCAGCAGTGGCAGAAATACTGTGTTCTTGTGGCCTGTGGAAAAATGTGTTTTAATTATTAATGATAAAACATCTGATAACGTGGGCAGAGTGCAATTGTGTAAAATTGGTGATACACATGGAGGCTGTGGTTGAAGCGATACTAAGTTTGATTAGATCCAAAAATACTCACAACGCTCCTTTTTCATTCAGAAGTGGATTTTGATCCCCGATTTAGCAGCAGGATTACTCTATAGTCACATATAGCCTGAGTAGTTTGGTATGAGTCAGTGTGTGTGTTTTCGTACCCATAGGAACAGAAGGAATGACTGGATCTGTAGAGGAGGGCTTGGCTTTGACGGGGATTGGAGTGGTTGGCCCATTTACCATCACATGTCCTGCAAAAAACATTCACACACATGGTTTTGATACAAATGAGCATATTTTCTTTATCGGTATAACATAACCCATTCATCAGAAAGCTGTTTAGCTCTTAGCATTTTTCGTTGCAAAAACTGAAAGAACTGACAAAATGATGATGCTTAAGCTGCCTGATTTACTTCAGCAGTCACAGCTGAATTCTTTGTTGTTATGACCAAAACAATTCAGTCAGGTGTATTTAGTCAGTGGTTGGGTGGAGAAGTCTAGTAATACCTAAGTGGGGTGATCTAAATAGTGCACATTTAATACTGTGCTGTCAGAAATTGGACATTACTACATCAGGAATAACACCACACAACACTTATTTTATCCCCTTGCTGTGATGCCAGTGAGCAGCACCTAAAACTTACTGCTGTTTTACAGTAGCCATAAAATTCATGGAGGTCTCTCAGGTTTTGAACTATGTATTTATATTCTTCAATAACATAAGAATACATTTCACTGGAAATGTGCATGATGTACAAAACTGAAAGGGAACTGGATTTACATCTTCATAGGTGAGCAAGTACTCTTAAAAAAGATGGTTCTTCAAGGGTTCTTTAGAAAAGAAAAAAAAGAACACTTTGTGTGATTAAAGGGTTATTTGCACTGTGAAAGAGTTCTTCTGTTTGATGGAGAATGTGCAAGAAAGGTTCTTTTGTTGTAACAAGCTTGATATCATAAAAATAGAATAAACCTTTTTGGGGCTACATAGAACCCTTTTCAAAAAGGTACTATATAGAACGATCTACAGCACATTCTACATCAAACAGAAGAACCCTTTCACCATGCAAAGAACCCTTTAATCATGCAAAGGTTTCATGGTTCTATCATTTTCTTTACTAACTAAAGAACCCTTGAAGAACCATCTTCAAGAGTGTAGGTTACATTTTTATGAAAGTGTTTTTAATTTGGGATGAAGGGCAGCTGCTGCTGTGCTCTCTGTTATATCTGAGCACAGCTTTCATTTTTTAGAGGTGTGAATTGTTTTCATAGCAGGATTTTCGTACTCTTCCCCTCTATGTTGAACTGCTAGCTTCCCTTATTGCTCGTTAGCAGCTCAACACAGAGTCACAACGTTTCACAGCAAGCCAGCCAACAATGTCTTAGTTAATCTGGTAACATTTATGGGGAAAATGTAGAATATATTTGATTATATTAATTTCAAATATTTGAGTCAATTTCAGTTCCACTGGCAGAACAGCCACTAGGGAGCGCTCAGAAATAGGTTTAAACCTTTTGGAGAAAAATGTTTTCAATGTGCTTTTAACAAAAGCTAGGAAAAGAAAACCAAACCACACGTTAGTCACTACATAGACAACAGCTACTCTTCATTCAAAGGAAGACACTTGGATCAACATGAAGTTGGAGAGTAGAGTTTTACATTAACAAAGCCTAAACTGAAAAGTCAGAGTGACAAAATTCAATTTTCAAAAGAAGACAAGGTGACAAACTACTGATAGTCAGTGTAAATACAGGATATGCTGTAACTTGAACACTCTGCAAAGTCATTTTCTGTACTGCTGAAGAAAGTAAGAGGCCATTAAATCATGTACTAACCCAGGTAATGCAGGAGCTTCTGTGCACGGTTCTGAGTGCGTTTGAGGTTGAACAGGTCCTGATTCTCATCAATAAACTGTGTATCCACTGTACTGTACAGAAACTGATTATTACTCAGAACGTTCTGCAGGAAGGGAATGTTCGTCTGAGGGAGAGAGAGAGGGGGAGAGAGTTACAAAAAAAAACAAAAAAACAAAAAAAAAACACAACAACTGGTGTGCATGCATTTAAAATGCTGTATAATGGGCTAGCTAAGAGTACAAAGTTGGTCCCTGGGGATCTAGCTGTCTCCCTAGTATTACTCCCTGTCCCACTACCAAGCCCCTAAGGAATTACACACACACACACACACGTGCACAACATTAACACATGGCTATTAATTATGCATGTTAATAAACACAGTCATTAGATCACAGGTGTAAAGTAGTGCTCAGAAATAAATATAAAGCCAAAGGTGACAGTTTATGAAGAAATAAAAATTCATGCATTCATTTATTTACAGTTCTCAACTCTCAATCAGTACCATGCATGTGACTGTAAGTGGAAGAAGAGATATTTTACTATGAATCAACTGTTGTGTAAAAAGAAAAAAACAACACACTTTATATTTGCGCTATGTTTTATCTTCTGGAATTAAACCGAAAAAAAGTCTGAAGTGCAGACTAACATGTCAATGCAGAGGGAAAACTGAACATAAATTCAATTTGTTAATCTATAATGTAACTATAATTATTAGGTTTTTTATGTAATACCTTTTATATAATTATGTAACTGAAATAATGTATAGCAAAATGACCATAGTAACACTAGAGTCCTATAGAGCATTTGTGGAACTGACCAAGCTACTTTAATACTAAAAAGAACAGAAAAAATTGTCATTCAATTCTGAATTTCAATACCTAGGCAGTCTTGTCAGCATAAGCTACTAAACATGAGCTTGTTCCAAACCTGACAGGTTTTTAAAATTACAATCTGTTATTGACATCAGTGTTTCTTGACTAGCCTCGATTCCACAGTCAGTAAATACACCCATTTCCAGCACCTCATACTCTTTTCTGGTTTAAGCCACATTCACCATCATTCAACAGCCAAAATACAGCAAAGTATCAGGAATTGGTACTGAAATAAGGGTATTGGTAATGATACTAAAAACCTTTTAAAAATACTCAGGCCTAGACTTCAAAAGGGCTAGTGACAGTTTTATTATAGCTAAGTCAATACTCAGGCACCTCAAAATTACATATTAAAATTCCTTTAGGAGGTGCTTCAGCACCCTTTTAGCACCACCTGAAAAATGTTGCATTTGCCTCCATTAAACTCAGTATTTTTGTTTTAACTTTCACCAGCCCATCATGGTTTACAACCCAGATCTATTACTCACTAATATTCTTGATGAAACATATCAAATTCATTTTGTTGCATTAAAATAAAGACATTTCATGTCTGTGTGTATGTATTAGAGTAATAAAAAATAAATCTCACTCCATCTCTACAATCCAACTGACAAACCAATAAAGAAGTGAATATCAGGTGGAGTTTGTTGTTACTGGTTTGACTGTCATACATACAAACATTAAGCATTTCTGATCTCATGCAATGAATAAGTGTTTTGGCTGAAATGGTGGTAAATGTGAGAGTCACAGAGCAATTGTATTCCTGCAAAGTTTATGGCCACTAAACAAAACACTCATGTGTATAATTTGGTGCACTTGGTTTGGTTTGTGATACAAACCAAACCAAATGCAAAAAGGTATAACATCACAAAAAACAAATCTAGGTGAGAAAACAGCCTTACTACTGAATATTCTTTGTACTGATTTCAATGTGTAGCTAGACTATGGGTCAGTGACCGAAACCACCAACCCTCCATCTTCCCCTCAACCCCCAGTATTCACATCTTGCCACGACAACAGCAATAAGTATAGCACCCCCTTCACATGTCTCAGCACCCATGTAGCGCCCCTGTGAAAATTCCTGACACTGCCTGTGTTCATGACCCACTAAAGATACAGGATTCATTAGCACATGGTTCTTTTCCTGCCCTTCTACTGCACTGGCACTGCACTCTGCCACAGCACATACACTATGATCTCCAATGATCCCATAAATAATTAATATGACATTAAAAGTTCCCACTGTTTGACTGAGGTTTAGATAACACTGTACATCCCCTACACCCTTTGATGCTTCTTCACAGAATCGCTATGAAAGACTCTCTACATGATAATCCGAGGAATATCAAAATAAGTGTAGCAGGAGCTCTTTCCTTGAAGACTGCATCTTCTTTTTGGAGTACTGCAGCCCTTTAATTAACCCCATATTTCTATGAACTTCTTCATCTCTGACTACAGGGGTGTCCAGCTCCGGTCCTGAGGGGGCTTCAAGCACAGTTTGGTAATTTTCCTGCTCCAACACATCTAATTCAAATCATCAGTGAAGTATCAGGTTCAGTAGGTGTGTCAGAACAGACACACCTACTGAAATTTGAGATTTCATGATAGAATCATAACCAAGAGATTTACACAATACAAGTGCAAGGAAATCAACAAACTGCGCTGAATTCTGGCCCTTCAGGACTAGATTTGGACATCCCTGTCTTACCACACCACACCAACTGTGAAAAAGGTCTAGATCTAGAGAACCAATCAAACAAGTCCATTTCAATTTACAATGTTTAAAAAAATTACAAGAACTCAGCGAGGCATTTCTCTTTCTGTTGTCTATGACTAAAATATTTTTGAGACTTATCTGCAATTGTTTATCAGCATATTCCCTAGTTGTGTTCAGAATAAATGGAAAAATGCACTATTCATATCTAGTCCACATTGCATTCTCCATCCACAGCTCCAAACTTCAGGTTTGAGATATGCATACAAAGCTGTTTTTTAAAGCTTGTTTTCCACTTTTGCTATGCAAGTTTCTTTACAAATTGCACCACCACACACTGACTTGTCAGTTTCTTAGGTCCGCCCAGCTTGTACCTGCACTCATTGGCAATGAGGCGAGTGTACGTTGTAGGTTTATAATTGACTGTGGCTCATCTGCACAATTTATCCTGACCTCTTTATCATCAATGGAGGTTGAAGGTAGTGACACTGACACTGTAGTGGCATGGTTATGGGTGTATCAGGCACAATAATGTTGCTGGGATTTTGCACACTGTGTATATTTAGGGGACACTTTGTTAGACACACATACTTTGTTGGTACCGCTTGCTGGTGTATAGTTAGTGAGTATAGCTTATCTTGTTAGTCATCCTCTAGCCCTTCATCAGTGGTCAGTTTCTGACCACTCCTGGCTGAATATTTTTGATTGGTGGGCCTCTCTCAACTGATCTGTGACAGTGATGTGTGTAAAAGCTCCAGCATCTACGTATTGTCTGATATACTCTTACCAGTCCATCACTCAAATAATACTTTGTCAGCAGCAGTCCTATGGTGGTCCTTTTCCATTGATGGACAAGTTAAAGGGGGGGCTGATAAATTGTGCTTCAACAGATGGGGTGCAGTCAGTATCTGTAAACCCACTAAGTGACCCTATTTGGTAGGTGTATCTAAGGCCAAATCAGTGAAAGTGGTGAAAATTCTGCAACAGTGTGAATGGGGCAAGAATTAAACAAAACAGATCCAGTCTGGAACAGGGAAAGCTGCAAGTTTCCTGACATGTATGAAGACTGTCACTTGAACAAAAGAACATTCTAGATCAGCACGAATGGGGAGAACATTCAATGTCAAATGTGAATGTAAAAGTACATTCCAGAGCAGTATGAATGGAGTAGAGCTGGGGTTCTCAATCCTGGTCATGGAGATTTACCACTCTGGAGAGATCAGATCCAACACACCTGGCTCTAATGTTCAGACACCCCTGAAGACCCTCATTACCTGGAACAAGCATGTTAGATTATGGTTGGAGATAAACTCTGCAGGGTTGTAGATCTCCAAGAATCAGTGGACACAATGAGAGGACACGGATTACTTAAATGTTCATGTGTTCAAGTAGACGTTTAAACACAGGGTAAAAGTGGGTTACTGAGCTCTGAGGAACCCCTGGCACACGGCACTGATGGAATTCATACGAAAATATAGAGTGCTTTTCTCAAAACTGTGCGCTTCATATAATATTTATGTGAGAAGCCAATAGAGACATTTAATAGAGCCATGGTATTTGTACTCAGTTTCAGGACATAATACAAAAACCCCAGAGACAGAACAGTGCACTGTATAATATGAATGCTTATTATGTGCATATGTACATGTCCACATTTGGAGGAGAGAGAGAGAGAAAGAGAGAGAGAGAGAGATGCATTCATGTATGTGTGATTGTCAGCATTAGTTTTGGGAATGGTTTATAAATATGCCAGTGAATGTATAATAATAAATTATAAAATCAGGCCCTTTTTTAAATAACTAGATTAGGGCAAAGAGGACATTTACTGATTTCTTTGGTCCTCTGTTATGGTACAACCATCTGATCTGATCTGATCTGATCTGAGAGAGAGAGAGAGAGAGAGAGAGGGAGGGGGAGAGAGAGAGAGAGAGAGAGAGAGAGAGAGAGAGAGAGAGAGAGAGAGAGAGAGAGAGAGCAATAGAAAGAGAGAAAAAGTGTATTTGTCATGCCAATAAAGCAGCTTGGATTGAAAGAGAGACAGACAGAAAGCGAGAAAGCACCAGAGCAAAACAGAGACATAGAGACACACACACACACACACACACACACACACACACACACACACACACACACACACACACACAGAAAGAGAGAATGAGAGAGAGGCAGGGACAGAGAGAGACACAGAGGAGACATTGAGAGAGAGGGAGACAGAAAAAGAGATAGAAAGGAGAAAGAGACCTAGAGAGAAAGTGACAGAGACATACAGAGAGAGACGGGAGAGAGAGAGAGATCCATAAAAAGAGTGAATGAATAAGGTGTTAATAAAATGTGCATGACCCTTCAGCACTGACTAGAAGGCACAAATCAATGTCTTCATTACCTACACATAGGCACATGACACACACACATACACACACACACCCTAGTTCAAGAGGTCATCATTTTTCAGCCAATCCAATAAAACGAGAGCACAAGGTTAAACAAAATGATGGATAAAAACTCAATTACCCAGAAAGACTTGAGAGAGAATAAAGG